AAGCTGCTTGCACGCCCGTCGGATGTTCTGTTCCTTGTCATCGGACGGACGCGCCGGCATGCAACGCGTCGAGGGGGAGTGGTAACGTCAACAAACGCGTTGGCACTTGTTTTGGCAGCTGCCAATGCGCGCTAAGCGAGCGGAGTTTCAATTTGTCACGCTCTAAAAACTCCTCCTCCAGAACGCGGCACCTCTGTCCCGGAAAAAAAATCCGAGGAGGCAGAAGGTTTATTATATGGTATCGGATACCTCTCAAAATTTCCTGGAAGCTCGGGGTGAGCTGGGAGGCCAGAACATCGTCATCTTCCAAAATGTCGCTGAGTTTGATGGTTCAGGAACCCGTTCGCAATACCTTCCTCTTGCCGTATCTCATAGATTTTTCATACAACTGTAGTCAACTAGTACAGGTAACTATGGAAAAAAACTCCGAGGGAAAAGAGCAAGAGATGAAAGAGAAAAGTGCGAAATTCAGACCCATTGTGCAAATTCAGACCCATTGGGCGTAATAGTACACGAGCTGGACTAGACCTAAATGGTGTAGTGCAGGACGGAATAAAATGCGGGGCAGATGACTGGCACGGGCGCGTAAAGGTGGGTTAGTATACCCATTGAGCGGGTGATTACCGGGAAGAAATGAAAAGGTATTGTTGTGGTTGTGAAACAACATTGTGGATGGACCTGTGTCGAGTGAGACAGTTGTCTTGTTTGTTGTTCAACTGGTTGTATGTATGGTACTTGGACCTGTGTTCAACTGGCTGTATTTACTCTGTAAGCATGGTACTTGGTAGTGGACGGAGACCGCGGTGTTGTTGTTGTGATTTTACGCTCAGGTGGCCAGTCAGGTGCTGCGGATATCGAGAGACGAGGACGGATCAACGACATGAGGCGAAGTCGGCCCGGGCACGTGCCACGGACCGAAGATATTGCTATTCCTTGCCACCAACCACCAACATCCACAACAGAGCAGCCAGCAGCACCCAGACAGCAGCATGGGTCCGCCCGCCGTGCCCGTCCTCGCCGTTGCACAAGACGCCCTCGACACCCAGGACGCCCTCCAGCTCTGGTCCGGTCCGTATAGCCCGTCCATCATTCTCGCATTTACTTATAATAATTTTTGGGTGAAAAAAGTCTTTTCAAAGTGCAAGAACTCGCTGCAGGATGGCCGTCGTCTCGAGAATATCTCGTGGCGGCTGTCCTTCCGCGATTTGCCACAGAATAAGCGACTCCTCGAGGGTCCGTGGCCCCCAACCCCGGAATCGGTCTGCAGCGACGATTCCAGTGGTACAAAATCAAGTAGCGGTACAAATAATTCCAGCAGCAGTGCTGCGACCTCGCCCTTCTTTCATATCGCCTCCAGAAGCCGTAAGTCTCTCTCTCATTTCCGTTCAATCGCACAACTGATCGATCCGCACAGCGACGGCAACCCCCGTGCGCCCCGCAGGGCGGATTATCAGCGATATGATCCCCCCAGGTCTCACCCAGAAGCTCATCGAGCACCAGAAGGACAAGAAGAAGGTCGACGATTACCCAACTCCGTCCAGCAGTTCCTCTGGCTCAGCATCCGCATCCTCGTCTTCCGTCTCCATCTCCGTCGAATCACCAGCACCAGCGACAGAGCAAGAGGTCCAGGTGCCCCGCGTGAACATCGTCAATCCGACCCCGAACCTCACCCCACACCCCACGCCCCCGGCCACACCTCTCCTCGCCGCATCCGCACCCCGGATGCCAGCTACTCCTACAACTCCCCCGACCCGGCGCGAAGCCCCTGGTCCCCTCTTCCTTCCCCGTTCGGCAACACGCGGCATGGGCTCTCCTGTATTTCCCCCAGTCGACTCCTCGCCGTACCCCGCCGCAGCTCCGGTCCCATATGCGCCCCAGTCAACGCATATTCTCCCACTGGGTGGCCGCGAGCTGACGGTCCCTGCACCCTCCACCAACCCCGGGAATGCCCATCTCGGTGGCTGCGTGGCGGGCAAAACTGCTCCCCGGGGGACGAGTAAATTCTTCCTCCACGCCGGGGCAAGCGGAAGCTCGCATAGCTCGTCACGGTCGAGTGGGACGAGCAGCAACTCGTACGAGAACGACCATGGCTCGCGCTCGAGTGGGAGTGGGAGCGGGAGCGAGAGCTCGAGGGAGCGCGGCGAGGGGGGGAGTGGGTTTGTGCATGGACAGCAGCGCGGAGTGGGGACTACGCGTGGCCGTGGACGGGGGCGGGGAACGGGGAGTGGAGGGAGGCATAGTTCGTCTGAGGAGGCTGAGACGCACCAACAACAGCAGCGGGAAGAGCAGCAGCAGAAACCGTTGGCGGAGCAGAAACAACAACCGCAGCAATTGCAGCAACCTACAAAACCACCAATATCGCACCAACAGCCGCTGGCACAACCACCGACGCAACCGCCGCCGCAGAAACCCCCACGCGTGGCTTCGGCGCCGTTCCTCGGCGGTTTAGCATTGGAGGTGGGTACAAGTTTTTTTTAGCGGAGAAGGGTGTTGATTTGTGTTTAGATGACCGCGGCTGCGCCACATGCCGAGGCACAGGCGAACGGTCGACGCGCGCAGCGTCCTGAAGCACAGGTTGTCGTCGACGCGGAGGACACGCGTTCAGTAAGTTCGATGGCGACGTCCTCGTCGCATCTGCGCATGCGCGCGCGGGGGAAGCAGCCTGTGCGTACGGCGATGCGGAGCGACCATTCGAGGTCAAGGTCGCGCGCGTCGCGCAAGGGCGGGACGACACGTGTGTCACATGCGAAGGAGAAGGAGGGGGGTGCGCCGAATGTGTTGGGCTTGCCGTCGAACCTCGCGGCTGCGGCGGCGCTGGTGGAGCGCACGATGAGCGGGCGGAGGTTGGTTGTGCTCGCGACGAGTGACGAGGATTGGAGCGACGACGACGATGAGAGCGCCCAGGGCACGGAGAGTGTCGAGGGCGAGGGCGAGGTGGAGGAGGCAGAGGAGGAGGAGGAGGATGAAGGGTGGGAGGACGAGGATGAGAACGAGAGTCAGAGTCAGCAGGATGCGCGCGCGGGCCCGCATCCGAATGCCAAGGCACCGCCGCCTTCGTTGCAGCAGCAGCCCCCGCCAAATCTCGGGCACGCGCGCGGGCATAGCACGGGTGGGGGTTCGAATACTGGCACGGACTTGCGTCAGCTCCCGACGCGCCCCACGCACCGCTCCACGTCGCACCTCCCCGCGTTGGCTGGTGCGGGTGCGGGGCCCGCGCATGGGAAGCACCACCACACCACGTCTGAGCAGAACGCGCGCACCGTCCGCGCGCTCAAGGCCACTATGAGCGCCACCACCATCTCGGGCGCGATGCAGGAGGCGAAGCGCCAGCGCGACATGTTTGCCAAGGCGCCGAGGTACAGCTACGAGAACCTCACTCAGCTCGCGGGACAGCGTCCGGGTGGGCTTACGCTGCTGCTTGGGGGAAGGCCACAGATCGCGGAGCAGTATCACCAGCAGCAGCAGTTGTTACAGCAGCAGCAGCAGATTGGTGGGTTGCCGCCGCCGAGGGCGCGCCCTGCGGGTGGGTTTGGGGGGTTGGGGCTTACGATGAGCTCTGCGCGACCGCCGCCGACGGGTGGGGTGGAGTTGTCGCCGATTCCACCGACCCCGGCGACGGCGGCTCTGCAGCAGCAGCAGCAACCGGCGGCACGGCGCCAGCAGCAGCAACCCCCCGCTCCGGTTCCGCCATCTCCGCGACAGCAACAACATGAGCAACAGCAACAGCAACAACAACAACCGGGGCCCCCGCCACGTCGTCCGGGCATGATGCCGCGTGCGTTTTCCAGCAGCGCGTTGCCTCCACATCTTGGCGCGGGGACAAGCGGGTCGTTTGGGAAGAGCAGTGTTGCGGGGCCAGTCGTCAGCGTTGCGGATCCGGGTGTCGTGGGCGGCGGTCCCCCTTCTGCCCCTCTCGCGGGTGTGAGCAACATAACGACGCAGAACGGGAGTGCAGGTGCTGGCCGTAGTGGTGGGTACCGCCCCAAGGGCCCGCCGGCGGAGATGGAGTATGATGACGAGGAGGACGACGAGTCGGATGCGGACGGGCGCAGCGGCAAGGGCAAGGGCCGTGCACGCGATGAGGGGCTGCAGCTTTCCAAGAGCGTCGCGCAGGAGAAGCTGCGTGTTCTCGCCGAGAAGAACGCCCTCTCGCGCGCCAAGAACAGTGGCGCGACTGCCGCCAATGGCACAGGGGGCGACTCCATGGAGGCGGAGCGTCGTCGGCTGCTGTACGAGCAGGCGGGCGTCGTCCCCTGGGCCGCGGCCGCCAATAACCACAACGTTGTGGACGACTACGTTGCGCAGCAGCCCCCGAACCGCTCCATGTCAACCGCGCCCGTGGGCTTCCCGTACAACCTCCCACTGCCTGCGCCGCCGTCGACGCCGCGTACGACACGCCAACAGATGCTGCGCAACGAGATGTCCGAGAGCTTGCGACATAATCTGTTGTGGCAGCGCAAGCTGAGTCGGACGGACACGATTGGGCCGCAGCCGCGCCGGTCGAAGAGCACGATGAATGTCCCTGGCGCGGGGCAGCAGGGGCGTCAGGCGGAGAAGAACCTTGTGCGCCTGACGCCGCGCGCACCGGGCTCGGAGCGCCGCGAGACGGTCCCGCCGATGGACGGTCCCGTGCAAGGCGCCGCGCCGACGAAGAAGAAACTCGTACGGAATCTCAGCTGGGCGGACACTTCGGACTATCATCAGAAAGGGTGGTAGTGTAGTTTTTTTTTCCCCTTCTAATGCATGCATGCTGCCCACTATTGTACGAATTACAAACCTACTTACTCATCGTCGTCGCTTTTGTTATCGCTCTGGTTCCACGTGTATTACTACCACTGTTTCTTTTGGCTTTAGCATACATATATAATTGGTAAATACAAAGTTCTGTTGGGCAATAAGTGTCGTGGGCATTATGAGCTCTGTACTTTTGCGGTTCTGGAGGTAACGGAAAACGAGAAAAAAGGTAGAGGTAGAGAAGGAGAAAAGGAGAAAGAAAAAACTGATTGGAGTGGGATTCGAACCCACGCCCTTTCGGACTAGATAAGTAAACACCTGATTCTAGCGCCTTAGACCACTCGGCCATCCAACCATTAATTAGAATCAATACCAGCTTTGTGTAATCTAATAATCGTCATATCCAAAATTTTGGAATACATGACACCAAAGATTTGGTCATGGGAAATGATTTGAGCGGATTACATAGCTTGCTCCTCTGTCTTGCACTTTCAGCGCCATCATGGTCGACAACCCCCTGCTGCCCAGAAAATCCCTGACTCAGAAAGTCCACCAAAAGCCGTAGACTTGGTGGACCCGGTGGACTTGGTGGACAACTTAGATAAGTGTTGGTATTCCCGAAAATGGAAAGCATTTATTGCCATTCAGAATATGCTTAGCAATTGAAAGACCTTGGAAAAGACAATATAAGAGATAAATAAAGGCATGCATGTATGCGGTCCAACTGGCCGAGCCGTGTATTTGTTTGTCTAACCCAAAATGTATCATCAAAGGTGTGCAGCAAAAGGTAAGGTAAGGTGCCAAGAGACACATACAACGCGTAGGTGACGGGTGACTTGAGAGTGCGTGCGACGAAGACAGCATACAACAGTGAAGCAAGGTAACCTATCCCCAATGCCAAAGTGCGCCACATTCAATAGTGTTGCCAAAGCATATGTGAGAAGGATTCAGCGTGTTTGTTGCTGTGTAAGGGTCCCAACTTCATGAGCAGAGGTGAAGAGCCTGAGGGCCCTGGAGAGCTGCGAGAGCAGGGCCATGACGCTGTAAGGGCACCTTGTGGGTGTAGGTGGATCGGCGAGGGTGGGCGTCCAGCGTGACAACAAGACCAATGAGCAGCGAGAGCAGCGAGCTGCACGCAATGAGCGATGTTCGCGGGCAAAGCAAGCGGCAGGAAATATTGTTAGTGTTTGGCAAAGACTTCGAGCAGCCATCAGAAGCACAGCCAACAGATTATCTAACTTGTCCACCAGAAAGTCCACCAAGTCCACCGTCCACTGCGGTGGACTTTCTCATTCGGGTATGCTCTCCTGCTGCCCAACTTCACTTCCGCAATTTCCGCCGCAGGTGTCAAATCCAATTTGGCAATTTTGATGGCGGGAGGATCAGGAGGTGTGATCGCGGCATCTACGGCACAGACACTGCACAGAATCAAGTTGAGTTGCAACTCAAATTTTAAAGTCTCCTCAAGTGGAGGAAGGGTATAATAAAATTAATTAGACACTGCTCTCAGATCCCCTGGGCCCTCCTTTGGCCTGACAGCATGTAAAAATAATTTATTTAACATGGAGCTCAGTCATTTTTATTGCTGTATTTCTTTGTTTAAAGCTTATTCTGATCTGTGCGAGGTCATCTAGCGTGGTGGAGATCTCTGTGGATGCACTTAGGCTTGCCGTCGCGGGACTGCGTGGCGCTGCCGCTCGCCGCTCGCGGCGGGCCGAGAAAAATTAAAATCCCAAAAAGAATGATCATATCCGGGCTCGAACCTAGCCCGTGGCAGTCCGTTATCGATACCACATAGTAACCATTCTACCAGATTGACAATGGCAAGCAGGCAGCTGAAGGTCTCTAGTGGCGGCGCGCGCCTCACATCAAGGAGCGGAACTTGAATTTGCTGAATCTTGGCGCCATCAAATTACCCGATTTAGGTTTGACACCTGCGGCGGAATTTGCAGAGTGCCCAACTTCAAGTACATTCAGATGTTTGAGGAAACTCATCAGTGGATTTGGCCTAGGCCAGACACCCCCTCATCAACAAACCTGAAACCAGCATGCCTGACTGAAATTATTCAAACCATTATACCAGATGACAGCTGGTTATCATCCACAGGCCTCTGCAACAACGTCCCTATAGACCAGCTGGTCAATGCTGACAGGAACATCCGCATGGCCGAAACCATTTATGCTGACAACCGGTGTGGTGTGGACTGCAGTTCCTTCACTGCCAGACCACTTTGTAGTGTCTATAACAGTACATCGGAGATGTTACGTCCTCTAAGGGGAAATTTGTGGTGGCTGAATCGGTGTGTGTTATGGAAGTGTTCCTCCATGGGTAAGGTGTGGGTTGTTAATTTATTACAAGCATTCAGTCCGCCGCACTGAATGCTATTCTGCTATAACTATTCCGTGGATTTCCTCCGGCGTAGATAGCCTTCTCGATTTCTCCAGCGAATCTGCGTACATAGTGCGGGAGGGGACACAGGGGAGTCAATGAATATGTTGAGGGGATGGGTTATTTTATTTCTCGTATATGATTCGTCGTCCTCCGAGTGATGAATCTAGTTGTGGTCCTGACAAGGAGCTTTCCGGGGGTTTGTTTGACTTCTCTTTTGGCGAACTGTGTCGAAAGTCCCTCTCCTTTAATTCCTCTGGCCCTCTCTTGTTTTATCGGCGGAGCGAGTTTCTCCGGTCGATAATTACCCGACCTATTGCAACAGTTACACGCAATTAGCAGCCCACGCTGCTAGCTGGCTGTTGTGATGTCCTTTCCACCCGTCGAACTAGGACTTCTTGTCTGGATATCCTACGCCCCAGTCTATCCTGCCGATATGTCTCCTCCGGGAGCGGCACCGGGTCTCGCACTCTTTTTATTCGTTGAACTGCATCAAGTGAAGGGGGTGTGTGGGTTTTCGCAGAATTGTTGGGCTTGATGAACACCTTTAGATTTTTAGGTGGGAAGATACAAGATACTGTTACGGTTCTTTTCCTACTCCTTTTATACCCTCAAAAGGCCCTTTCCCCTTCTGTACTCCCTCTGACTCCTCCATTCCTTCTTGTTCTTTCCCCTTCTGTCAACTAAGAATATTCCCAAAAAGGATACTCAAGAGTCCCCTTTCGGTTGCGGAATTTCCCATCTCCTACCCAGCCCCGCTGCTCCGCTTCTCTCCCTCCGCCTATCCTCGCTCCTACTTCCTCTTCCGCCACCGCTGGTATTACCCAGGTCTATGCGTGATGCATTTCTGTGCCTTGCACTGATCCTCCGGTGGAATATCGAGCCATACACCATCAAGTAGTGTGCTCCGGCAGCTAAACAGTGCTCTGACCGTGTCGTTCTAGGCTATAAAACATCCTTAGGTCCTTTTTCTGCGATTGTCGAGTGCCTCCGTCCATTCCATGGCAAGTTTATGCTTCTCTGATCGAGTTCCTGCGTTTTTCAAGCCAGTTGCGAGGCCAGGAGCTGTGTTCTGAATATGTCGCAAAGCACGGAGCTGTGTTTTGCATGTCTCTCGAGGATATTCGTGCTCCGCCCACGACATTTTGGTTGTGCAAGCCATGTCCTGTGTTCTGGAGCAGATTGTGTAGCCCGGAGATGTGTCTCGTATAATCTGTCGAGGTTACAAGTGCTCCACCTGTGAACTTCGGTCCATCTTGTGTTCTGGAATCGGATTGCATAGCCTGGAGATGCATCTCGTATAATCTGGCGAGGTTACAAGTCCTCCCCTTTGTGAAATTCGGTCCATGCAAACATTATCTTGTGTTCTGGAACAGATTGCGTAGCCTGGAGATACATTTTGTATAATCTGTCGAGGTTACGAGTGCTCCGCCTGTGAAATTCGGTTCATACAAGCAATATCTTGTGTTCTGGAACGGATTTGCATAGCCCGGAGATGTGTCTCGTATAATCTGTCGAGGTTACGAGTCCTCCCCTTTGTGAAATTTGGTCCATGCGAACATTATCTTGTGTTCTGGAACAGATTGCGTAGCCCGGAGATATGTCTTGTATATTCTGTTGAGGATATTGGTGCTCCGCTTGTGAAATTCGGTTCATCAAGTAATATCTCGAGTGCCCGAAGATCGTTCACGACTAATCCTCCCTCCGCTGGGATAGGTTTTCGGGCAGGGATGAGACGGAGGACAAATCGAGGTAGTCACTCCCAATGGTAGATTTTTAGGGATCCAGCTCCAATAGTGTATGAGCTGCAAGGCAACGTGCTGTATGGGGTTCGAGGTTGGGGCACTCTGTGGTGCAGTGGGCACTTTGACCAGTTTTTCTGGGGTATCGTAATCGTCTTCCCGTGGTTGCTCGTTCGAATTGAGACTGGAGCTTTGCCCTTTTTTGTGTCAGCCCCAGAGATGTTTGCGAGTACTGTTAAGCCTCTGTGTCTCCGCTATGCCCATAGCAGGGGAGGTGACGTGAAGCGGCACCTCACAGCACGTGTTGTGTCCATCCCAAGTCCCAGTCCAAGTCCATCCAAGCCGAATCCAGTATCCCAGTCCAAATATTCAAGAATCATTTCCGCCAGTCATCGTTTCCCTTGTATCACTTCTGCCAGTCGTCGTTCCCAATGTCCAAATCCAAAGTCACTTCTGCCAGTCTCGATCACACGAGTTCCCGAGTCCAAAACCAGATATCCAATTCAATCACAAACTCCAAACAGATATTCCTTCCAGGCTATACAATATTTCACCCTTCACAAGTATCTACGACTTGTGAAACTCGAAAGACCAGGAGTTGCTTCCTTTGGGCACAGGTATTGCTACCTGCTAGTGGGGAAACTACTCGTTACCTTCTACCGAAACTACTCTGGCTATTTATACAAACATGATATGACTATGAAAATGAAAGAAATGTGTAACAGTGTCCGTTTATCTGTCCTATTTCCCGTGTATCCGTGTAGCAATATAATATACAAAGTGTCCCATTGGTCGGCGAGGTCGAAGTTGTCATTCCGGGTATATTCCGACCATTTCTTGGTAATATCTTGCACATGGTGTCGTGATGGGCACTTAAAACCGTGACTGCCAAGTGTTCCTTGAGTTGTGGAACTTCTGTTCCTGAAGTATCCCTTGAATCGGTATAGTCGGACCTTGTAGCCCTTGTCCATAGCTTTCAAATGATACCCCACTTTGAAGAAACCATGAAAAGAGACCGAGGGGAATTAGAGTTGACTATCCCCATTGGTATCTGCTATGGTTCTGAGATCAATGATCACAAGACTCGGCAGCTATTAACCCCGTGAACTCATGTCTGACATAGCCACTGACTAGAAACAGCCGGAACAGCAGTCCCGATGTCACCTGCAACTATGCTTGGCATGCTTTCCTCAATGACCCACACCAAAATGCTCGATACATCGG